ACCCGATCAACCCGCCGAGTGTGAGAGCCGGCCGCGTCCGTCCCGACAGCACTATCACAATATTGCAGGATGGAACGGATGTTTGACAGTGAGTCGTTTCCAGAGTCTTGACGTTAAACTTCGAATTTTTGGACCGTTTGAAATGAGCGAAGCACGGTTGGCACGGCTCACGACGTAAGATATCGCGGTACAGAGGTGTCCTAAATGACGCCCAAAAATCCTCTTTCTCCGATAAATTATCGAGCTCCTTGCTGGAAAGTAATGGCTGAGTACCTAACACAGAGTAACCCGTCAGGGCGCGCGCCTAAGGGTCACTATAAACGTAAACGACTTGCTCTAGAAGTTCGTCAGACCCCACATGGTCGACCGTAATTCTCATCGGGTGCAGAGGTCATTTTGGAGCACTATCCCGTCTTCTGCTTTATTCGCTTTGAAGCGCAGCTGAACAAGAGGCACTCAATCAGAAGAATGACCAGACTGGCCGCCGCGGCGATGGGGATTATAATCAGCAGCGCGAACGAGTTGCCCGGAGAGATCGGCGCAACGTCACCGGTACCGGTGCACACATCGGATAGCTGAATCCACTTTTTCTTCAGTCGCAAAACGATGCCCCCTTCACTCATTCTTAGCAACACCTGGTTCATAGATTTTCTGAGATTGCCAAGTCCTTTAGCGACGACCATGTAACTTTTCTTATCCCATATAGGGCTATCACGTAAGGAAATGAGTTTGCACGCTTTATTGCCAATCCTGCGGAACATCGGCTTGATGTTGAGGAAATTCAGTGTTCTAGGCTCAAGTGAATGGAGGTCCCTTTCTGCCTTTGTTTCGTAAGGAACAAAGCGATCCCTCGTAATAATTCGTTGGTACAGTTGCACTTCATATGGATCTTTGCTCACTCTCCAGTCAGTTAAAACACTGTGGCCGGGGTCTACCACCAGCTTCCAGTCGGGACGTTCAAGGAATTCTTTCAGACTGCTAATAGGCCGATCAAATTCGACAACAGTTAGGTAAGAGACCATTGTCGCCGTGTAGCTGTTGACGATGATGATGTACAACAGCCAGGTGAAGATGGTGACAATACGGCCGGACAAAGAGCTGGGCACCGAGGGCCAGCCCTGGCCGACCAGCGACCCGAACACAGACAGCAGGCAGGCCGTCCACGTCATCTCTGTGCTGGTTTGTCTGTCCTCGGTCCTGCTCAGTCGAATGGAGAACCTCAGCGCCAGTGAGAGCAGTACGAATGCACCGAGAACAATCCACCAGACCGACATGTGGAGCGGCTTCAATAAAGAGTTGAAAGCTTCAACGCCCAGGCTGAGATAATCATCCGGGTTCTTGCTGACGTAAAAAGCACCTGCGCCTTCTTCCACAGCTGCAGCGTCCAAAAAATCAATCACTTCTGATCGGTCCTTTCTCATTGACAGCCAAGAAAGGGCAACGTCGGCTCTCCCGTAGACCAGCTCTCCCACCATTCCAGTCCAAGTCCCGTTCTCGTCCAGTCGGCCGAAGTTTCCACCTTTCAGCATGGGTACCAGACGGTAGCGGAGGTTCAGAGACTGGGCAATGGTCTTCCACACATCAAACAGATAGCCCTCATAAGTGACAGCGCCATCATGGCTGGAGTTTATCCAGATGAATGGAGGATCATGAAAAGCCGCGACCCGCAGCTCTGGCTCCGAGGCTGGATCGTGGCTCTCCGTTGACCAGTTTCCGCCCACGAAGTGAAGACCGGCCATCACCAGTTGCCGCCTGTCTCGGGACAGTGGTTTGTAATACTGTCCCGACCCCGACACGGCCAGCCGTTCCTCGCACTGACAGCGGAGTGTTGGACCACCACGGCCCGCCCGTCCCGCTCAACTTTTCACTTATTAACTGGCTTATGTAACAACCAAATCCTGGGCGTACTGCACCGGCATCCATCCCCTCCCAGTACTAGTGATTACCAGCACTTTGTTGTCTATTAGGTCTTTAGGGACGGCCGTGATTGCCGGCGCATCCGTTCGACTCCTCGCAAATGACCAATAGAGGCTAAATTATACATGCGCGGTGGGCTATGGTATGACACTGTGGAGCATGCAGTCATAAAACCCAAAATTACTGTACTACTCATAAAACCGCCGGCTTCAGTAAAAGTTTCGGCATTATAAAGCAGGTAAAGCATGGCACTATAACTGTAGACTAGTTGTATCAGGCGTTTAGAAAAATATGGCATCAGTAAATCTCCCAGCGAATGCCACTCCAACTTCTTATTAAATGCAAGATCGTGACTCGTGAGTAGGTACAGCAGCCCGTTCGAATGTACTCGTATGCCCGGTTCGAAAACATTAACTATGGCCAAAGTTCAGCTTCCTATCTGGCTTGGATAAGACGATACATTGAGGGAAAGAGACGATTCATTGTCCGGGCACGTTAGCTGAGAGCAAACCACACCCATTGTCCAATAGACACAGTCACGCGGGCCAATAATTTTCACACATTTCGCACATCGTACCACTGTTCAAAACATCCCGATACAAGCATAGTAAGCACAATATATTATTTGGTCTTAGCTTCAGCCTTCACGTGCAAAAAGAGAAAATTATCAGGTGTCGTTAAACTGATCTGACGTCTTTCTACCTACTCGCGGTTCAATATATATTGCAATGCGGGTCGAATGATACCCACGATATAAGACAGTGATAAAACTACGAAGAACAAGATTCAGACATTTCAATTCTAATTTCGAGCTAAAAACTTTTTAAAAGAATGCGGTCACATATAACGTGTGAAAATTTATTTTCATTTATTTTACTTTTACCAATTGTGGTAGCAAGAGGGCAAGCACTGAATAATCTAGACATATTGCTTATCACTCACACGTTTTAACTGTGTACTGTACCGTCACTGGCGGTCGCAGCCGCTAGCAAAGGGGGGGGGGGGGCCAAACTCACACTCGCGGGACATAACATTTATCCGTCACCGGAGGGTGATCGGCTCATTTTTTACGCCCGCGAGGCGCCGCGCAGTTAGCCATACTTATGCTTCATTCATCTCGTTCTTGCGTGGAATCTTTAAGCTCAATTTAAGGCAAAATCACCAGTACCTACCATTTCTCGTCCCACGGTGTTTCCACCGGTCGGGCCACTGCACCATGGCGACGGATCGGTGTAGCATATACTGGAAGGTCGGGCACGCGGATTCATGACCTTACCTTACCAGTATAAAACAATTCGGAAAAGTACAGATACCTACCTCTTGCTTTGAACACGCATGTGAAACCCAGAGAGCATTTTCAGACTATGACATTTACCCATATACGAGTAGTTGCATGTGGCGGCGGGAGAGAGAAGCTAGGTACGTACACCGACCTCTGGTGACCAAAGGTTCCTGGCTTTCAAAATTGGCATCTGAGGGCCGCGCGCGACTCCTGTGGGCTTCGCAACGGCTCTATTGGGGCTCACTCAAATGCCTAGTCCTCATGCTAAGAAGACTGGCCATCAGCCCTGAGGACTTCATAAGTCTCTGCCAGCCCCAGGACCCACAACGGCTCATGGGGTCCTGACGTCGAAACATGAGGGAATCTACGCGGGACCATCAGGACGTAAAGTGATCTCGATCAGGACCAACGTAAGGCTGTGCAGGAGTCTGCGTAAGCCCTCTGAGCTTCAGAAGCCCATGCATATGTATGTTTTCACTTAGAGGCCAGTTTAAGGCCCTCAGATACAGTGCCTGCAAACTGCAAAGGCCAGTAGTTTGAGACCATCAGATACCGAGTTGGGCTCTCAGAGACTAATGTGGGTCCTTACTCATTACAGGCCAACATGGGGCCCTCAGAGGTCAGCGTGGGGCTCTAAAAGACCGGCATGAGCCGTCGTTGGACCCCAGCGGCTAGCAGAGGGCCCTCAAAGGCCAAGATGGGCCTTCCTCAGAGGCCAATGCAGGCCCTTAGAGGCCGGCATCAGGTCTTTAGCAGCCAGTGCGGGGCCTCATTGGCACCTAAAGGTTCGTCTTGGGACGCCAGAGACAGAAATAAGGCCACCAGAGACCGGTGTGAGACGCTCAGACGCCGGTTGGGGCCCCTGAGGACGGTTAGGGGCCATCATAGGCCAGATGTGGGGCTTCAGAGGTCGATGTGGGCTCTAAGCGGCCAACATGGGCGCTTGACCGCCACTGAAGTTCCCTCAGAGGTCAGTGTAGGACACTCAAAGACCGGTGTGGGAGCTATATTGATAGCTGGGAGTGTTTTTTTAGGCCTCGTGACGATCGAATAAGGGCCAGGGCCCCATACACCTATGGGGGCCCATCGGTTGTTTGAGGGGGGCAAATGATATGATAGCCCCCTTTATTGGCCTTTGGGGGGCATGGCCCTGATGTCCCCCCCCCCCCGCGACCGCCACTGTGTACACATTACCCACAGGCCTCTGAGATTGCATACCTACTAGCTCATGCAAACTCTATGCAGGCCCCGGAGGTCCCACGCTAATCCTTAAGAAACCAAGCCAGCATACGGCGTCACCACCGGGCTTCTGAGGTGCACAGCATCAACCCATGAGGTCTTACTTTAGCATGTCGAAGAGCCACGCTCATTTGGCAGGGCCCACCCGGCACTGCCGAAGAGGGTCTCATGCCAGCCATTGCTGGGCCTACGAGAGACTCAAGTAAACCCACGCTGATATTCCATATAAGATCCGGCCATACTCGTGAATCGGTGTCAGCGACGCTGACCGCCAAATTGACAGAATGCGAAACTGAGCCCACTCCATGAGTGAAATTTACGTCCTTTGATGGCGCAAGAAAGAAAATGAAACATACAAAAAGCTTTCTAGGACTTTTGTTCGATCTGAAAGGTGGGGCCAAAAGATAGTATGGCCCCACCTTTCAGCACCAAAGGGGGGGGGGGGCCATGGCCCCCGTGGCCCCCCCCCCTGGGACCGCCAGTGTGTACCGTGCACCATGCATAACGCGGGCTTAGCCTACATTGGTCAGCTCTCATCACACATATCAGTCATATACGAAAACAAGGTCTTACATCTGTAATGGTCAGCGTCCATCACACATAGCGGTGGTCACTTTACGAAACAGCTAATCAGGCTCTGAAGATCAGTCCAACACAGACAAAACCCGGGATCTCAAATAAACAATCTATACAAAGACTCAGATGCATAAATAGTAATCGTAACAGTCATAGCCGGGAATAATCATACAAATGCTGTATGAGAACAGAAAGCATACGGCGGCGTAACAGCAAGCATCCATCAGATACCACCGCTTGATATATCTCATACACTGTTCATTTCAATTATCAGCTCCACTGTTCCAAGACATCTAAAGCCGAGCATTTTGACGGAATCGGTGATCACAATAGGACACTGCTTCTTTTCAGCAAACCAACTTCCGCACAGCTGACAGCTCAGTCCGGTATGTGCACACACGGCGGCTGGAGCTCGGTTCTTCGACCAATATATCCTCAGGAGAAGGAGCAGACAGATATACGGTTCTTCGCGGGCCATAACAGTGGCAGTGGCTGCACCATTGTCCATCTGTCCGTCTCCACACACCGAATACCTCTCGATCCACGCCCGTCCGGACAATCCCGCCACTCAGGTGAACTGGAACAGGCCGCTGGGCAGCTGCACCTGTGACATCACGGTGGTGGCGGGCTGCGCGCCGGACGGCGGGGCGGCCTCCAACAGCTGCTGGACACGCTGTCTTACCTCGAGCCGCCCGAGGTCTCCTCGCAGCAGCAGCAGGCCGGTCAGGTGGTCGGAGCTGGCGTCCGGACAGTGGCGCAGTAGACCGTGCAGCTCCAGAGTCAGCAGGTCTGCGTCCTCGACACGCAGCACCTGGCAGCGAGATGGGAGGATGAGAGGTCACATGAGTGTAGGGTAACGGTTAGCACATAGTGCGGCTGCAGATATGACTCGCTGACAATTACGCTCGAAAGAATGGGTGCGTGAACACACTAGAAAGATAAGTCAGGAGACAGATAAGATGGAACAGTAAAAATGAGCAAGGAGAGGTAGACAGTGAAAACGAGCTGGGAAGACAAAACGCGGAGAGAAGACATACTGGTAAGGCGGAATGAGTGAGCTTGAAGAGACGAGCTAACGAGCAGAGAAGACTGAGGAAAGACGAAGTGTGTGGGACATGGTACAAGACGGACTGTGTAGGCCGGAGAGACGCCTTAGACAGCGGCGCCGACTACAGCCTGCGGATCTCACCTCTGTCATTGCTCGGAGAATGGCGTCCGGACTGTCCTCCTCGTGGGAGACACTGGCCGGCGAGATGCGCTCGAACGTCTCCACCAGCTGGGACGTGTCCGAGACGATCTTGTCGGCGCCGGCCTTACGCTCCTCGGGGGACCTGACGGGAAGAGCAGTCAGGGATTAGTGGAACAGTGGACGACGGTCGGTGGGCATTCAGCGGTTAGAACTTAGATGACAGACTCAGTATTCAGTGGGCAGTGGAAGGCTGTTAGTCAAGTGCACTTTGGACGGCGTTCACTCAATAATGGACAACTGTCAGTGAACGGTGGAAATCCAATGGGAAATACATGTCTGTGCAGCCAGCGCATATTGTTTCATCTTAGTTTCTCTTAATCTTAGTTTAATTTTTTTAAATTAAAATTTAATCTTAGTTCCAGTCCCAGCGCCAGTCCAATCTCAGCCCCAGCCTCGCATCACAGCATGGAAAGCTTTCTGACCCACCGTCGCCCCTGACCGCTGACGATTCTCCCTCCCCCCCCCCCCATCACATAATGCACTTGCCACTTCCCAAAGCCACCTCTTCCACCACCAGACAGCCAACCATACGATTCAGACACTGACACATCCACAGACTCACTTGAAGGTGATTCTCTTCTGGAGCAGCGCGGCCAGGTACTTTTGGTAGATCATCTGGAGGGCGTCAGCCACCGTTTGCTCGAACGTCTCGGGCCTGAGATGGACGTAGTCGTGGCAGTAGTCCTCCACGGTGGCACAGATGGTGTTGACCGCCTCCGGCGAGCCCATCCAACGGCGGGTGAGCAGGTCACGGAAGTGCGGCTCCAGGTCCAGAGCCATCTCCTCCAGCAGGAAGCCGGCACTGTCGTTACCCAGCTTCTGTGGACGGGAGGGCAGGGCGGGGGAAGGTCAGCGGGCGGGTGAATCGTCAGCAAATCGGTGAGGGGAAGAATGATGCTGGACAAGGGGGAAATCAAAGACTGCAACACTCAGCTCACATCTGGGACTGCAATGAACTGTACTCACTGAAGACAGAAGACACTGAAGACGGAAGGCACGGCGTTATAGAGAGGAGACTCGCCTGGTACGTCGATAGCAGCGTCTCGAGGGAGCGCGCCACTCCATAGTCGTTGGACAGCGGCTTCCAGTAGCGGTCCCGGGTCTGCTTGGCCAGCTCCATGATGCTGGAGCAGTTGTTGACGATGGCGATCATGTAGTGGGTGAAGTAGCGGATCTGCGGCATAGGTACAGAGGGCATATGTCATCTGTCAACACGTCAGGAGGCTTGCAAACAAGCCGCCGAAACATTGGTAGACTCAACCAGCTGTCTGATGTGGAAAACACTAGCAGTCGGTACAACAGGCACGTTATGGACATATTGGCTCACTCACCAGACTACATTCAGTAAAGCATGTAAGACTCACTTACGACACTATGGTCAGATAAGTAAATATAGCTTGCTCACCACACTAGTCCGAAAAAACACTCATCGAGGGCACGTTGTAAGTACAGCTCGCTTACCAGACTACGGTCAGTGAAGTGTTGACCCTTGTAAGCGACGATGGCTTCTCGATAGTCGCCGCAGAATTTGGTTACTTGCGACAGACTGACGGACAACACTTGCATGGCAAAGTCGTCACTGTCGGACACCGAAGAGCAACGTCAGATGGATACTCCAATAACAATGTCAACAATTGTTATTGGAACACGATATCAGAGTCTCCAATAACAATGTCGCGTAATTGTACCTAAGCGACAATTACGATATGATCCCGCGAATGACCTGTCTGGGTCACGCAACTTGCCACTGACCTGACCGACTTGGCCACCTGCAGGTTCTGGTCGATCATCTGGAAGACGATGAGCGGCGCGGCCGTCTGGAAGAGGTCTCCGTCGGCGTCGGGCGGCACGTCGCGGCGCCAGTCCGACACCTCCTGCGCCACCGTCTTCTCCAGCCACGACTGGTAGTTGGTCTCGATTTTCTGCAGGTGCAAGATGGTGTAGTTCAGCGTGAATCACGTGTTGTACGAAAAAGATATTCGCTCAGGCTTTGGTGAATACAAAACAATAAAATATGCTTAGCTTACCGTAGAATAGCTTCTAATCGTACGCTAGCCCCCTACCTAGCTCGTGTACTTATCACCTTACGCTGCACGGCGTACTGACCTCATAAAATCAGTGTGGTTTTCTTATACCTTAGTTAGATCAACGAGGTTTCCCTTTACATCCTCTCCTTCATAACATTATCAAAGGAATCATCTTGTATCACGGTCAGGGGCGGCGTCTATACCACTGAGCCTATGCCGGGATTCAGCAGCCTGCGCCGGCCGCCACCCACCTCCACATACTCCTTGATGAGGGTATCGACCGTATGCTGGTCGAGCAGCGGTGGCAGCGCCTTGGTGCTGATGGCCAGACTCGGATGACCCAGCAGCTCCGGTCCCGGGTAGGTGTTCTGCGTCCACGACAGCAGCGTGAAGTACTCGTTACCCTCCAGGCCGCACGAGATGGTCTCCATCAGCTGTTGGGCGGCGCGATGTAGGTAAGCGAGGAACATCAGCAGCGTAGAGGTCAAGGTTTAGCAGGTCTCGACCGATCAACTACTCTGGCAATTGGCAAACCTTTCCTTCCGGTCCTACAGTATCATCGACAAAGTAAACATATTACGAACCGAATTGCGCACTTCAACAGCAGAAGTGTGTCGACAGCATGCTGTATGAAACACGGTCTTTCAACATATGAGTGTCAACATTCAAAGGCACACTCAAATGGCACCCTGAAGCAGACCTTAACACCGGATGTATCGAACCGGGGAATAACCACGAGTTTCGTTGCAGTGTTGGTCGTTGAAAACAGACTCACGTGTTTGGATAGGGCCGTGTGGTACATTTTCACGTAGGTGTTGAGGATGCCGTAGTGGGGCGGGAAGCAGGCGACGCAGAGTTTCTTGACCACCTGCAGGTCCTCCAGAACGAGCAGTCTGCAGACCTGGTAGGAAGAGTGACATGATAGGTAACTGCTCGATAGGTAACTGATAAGTGCTCATAAAGCACGATCTGATGGGTATTTCACCTAGATATAGCATTTGTTATCAATATACAACAGCAGGGCAGCAAAAGATTGGGTAGCAGCGAAGGCAGTTACGAGCATGATTCACCTCGTGATAGCGCAGAATAACCACCGGACACCGACCCTCGTCTCAAAATGTCACCTCACTACTAAAACGTTCATCCATATCAGCGCATGACAGTTCGGAGCGCCCAGCTCGCCATTCCCGAGCCTCACTTCTAGATGTCGGACCAGCCACATCTTGTTGTCAGCTCTACTCTCGAAGGCGTTCGCTTCTATACGAGTGTTGACGGCTTCCTCCAGTACCTGTTAGAGACAGACAGGAACTCCGGTTACAGTGTTCTAAAATTGGATTTTGGTTGGGTGTGCCGATGAAGAAAAAAAATCCTAGGATGAGAAAAAAGGAAATAAATAACTGAAGTATATTTGCAAAATGGTGTAATGCCAATTTGTATGCCAACTGCTAAACCAGGATTTCATGTCAGAATCTTGACAGGGTGTGAAACAAAAGGATGTGGGTGCCTCAACTGTCAAGTGACATGTAAACTGGCTGTTGGGAATACATGAATTTTTTTCAGAGATGAAATAAAGTCGGTAATTCATATTTTAGGGATGAAAGTATTTTCCCTATTAGGTGTGATTTGCCACCAAAAAGTCTGAAAAATGGAACGCTGTCCGGTTATGGTTGAGCGATTATCTTGAGAGGCCTGCAGTGAGTAATTCGGGTGACGAGTGCTCTGACACTTCCACACTGCAATCCTATCGACTGTTCTACATTTAGCCGGTGGTCTTCGCCTGTTATCATTCATGTTCCCTAGCTCATCAGTCAGCATTCACATGAATTACCACCATATACGAATTAGCAGTGACTTCCCACCTTCTCTCAAATGGCAATCCATAACAAATTAAGGTCTCCAAACCCAGCCTCATGACGTTGAGCAGTCTCTCCATTCCTCTATCATATCTGAGTCTCTCAACCGTAACCCTTGCCCGTCAATCCCGGTCGCTGCCGTGTCTGCCAACCTGGAGTGCGCGCTGCCGCCAGCGTTTGGGCCGACCCGGCGGCACATAGTCGGTGGTCAGGGCGTCACGCAGCTCAGCGTCCGCCTGTTCCTCCCGCTCGACGATACGCAGAACGGTGACGATCTCCTGCGGCTCACGGCGCACAGTGGCCAGTGTGCGGCTCAGCTTCAGCCACAGCTGCTTACCTGGAGGCATGGGGGAGGCGGTCAAAGGCGGTGGGGATGCAGCGACCCCTGGATGGGGTGCACTGAGAATCAGACAGAGTGAAATACGGACGAATGCACGACCGGGAAAATACAGTCATCTATGAGGCACAGAGTCCGATCAGTCCAACGGACACATCGACGACAAAGGGATCAGATCGGCTGTAGCCCACGCAACTCGGCCCACAGAAACAGGTGACATGATTAGGTTGCAGCTAGACGTCACATTTTTCATACAAATCGGGAGATAACACGTCAAACCAACGGTCTTAACTATTTCCGATATATCTAGGGATGATTCGAAACTGCAGACTTTACATTACGTCTAAAACTATTGTTCATCGTGCTTAAGGCGGCGATTCAGTGACTCGAGGTATGTGGATCAGCCAATTTGACCGCACCCGCGGTGGCTGAGCCCGAACGACCTACCAAGCCGGTCGGAGAGCGCCTCCACCTCCTTGAAGTGCGCCTTGAGCCGCTCCATCTCACTGCTGTGACCGCCCAATTTCCGCAGAAGGTCGATCAACAGACGGTCCCGCGTCCGCTCCAGCTCAATCAGATACTGCCGCGACACCACAGAGAAAGGAGTGTCAATGTCTGACTGGTAACTATTCACAGAGCATGAGGATAGCTCGATAGTAACCTCATGTGTGTCTGATCAAAACAGTGTGCAACACCTACCCGCAAAAATTCATTTACCCATCAATGCAACAACTCTAGCAAAAAAAAAAAAAATACTTGCATTCCATACATTGGGTCATAATGCGAGAGTGCCAGCGAGCGCCATCCCACCATCTGCACACTTCTCAGTTAGTGATGTGAGCCATCAGACGCCCCATACCCTCCGACCAGTGTACCGGCGCATCACCAGCCACCAAACCCCGGCCAGCCGACTGACCTTGTGCGCCGCCAGCAGGGTGCCCTGATCCATGACCTTCTGTGCGCGCTCCACAAACTTGTCGATCATCAGGGTGAAGTCCATGGTACAGACGGCTGCTTCGTACTGCTGGTGGAGGCGACTCTCCTCTCGCAGCTCGGAGAACTGCGGCAGTAAGGCCGGCACCTCCTCCAGCGCCGCCTCGATCTCCTGCAGACTGAGGTCAGATGGTGGAGGGGTGGTCAGAATCGGCTGAAGTCAGGGACAACAGGGGTCAGGAAAACCATTGGGTCAGAAACTACAAGGGGCGGTAAGAGAGCAGAGTGACAATGGCACAAAAGTAGCACAGGGATGACAAGAGGCTCAGGGGTTGTGAGGTGACTGGAGGTAATTACAGCAGATGGGGACAGGAAACTTGTACTTGAGGGTGTACTCGTACTTACAAGGTAGATAGGTACCAGTTGGGGGACTAGACACATACCTAATTGAGCCATAGGCTCTTGTGGCCATGACTTTCACTGGGGGGTTGGAAGTTGGAACTGCAGTCAGGGCCTGACTGGGTCTGAGAGTGCTCAAATATACAGGCAATCAGTTCCAGGCCATTATGAAGGATTGTGAGTCACTCAAGGATTGATTTGGGCCCTCAAAGTTCCAGCAGAGGTTTGTACCTTTGTCTGGACTCCTGAATATCATGCAGTGCTGCCTGCAACTGGTTCAGGCCCAGCTTCACATCATCCAGCTGGCTCTGCATCGCTGTCTTCAGCATGGCCTCAACAGAGTTCTTCTTCCTGATCACCCTGTGACAGAACCAATGCCAATGTGAGTCGATTGTGCACCAGACATCAGTTCCAAATCTTGTGCATAAGAATTAGGTAGGTATTTGCCTTGGAAGAGTCTAGTAAAATTCACAAGCAAGATATTATAACTGACATATTGGTAAAGTTAGAAGGCAGCAGAGAGCTGCTAACTTTTCACTTTTGTTCTAACAAAAGAAAAATGTCCAGAATGAGAATAAAATTTAATGCAGGAAAATCTGATTAGTGGAACCAGCAAATATAATTTCACAAGAAAGAACAGGTGACAGCCTACCTCTGTTTATATTGGTCAACTTTTTCCAGCTGGTCGGGCCGCTGCAGCATGTTGGCAACCTGTTGCAGTGCCAGCCGCTGGGCCTCTGCTTCTAGCTGGTCAATATCCATCTTGCTGTAAATTGAGAATATCCCTGTGACCAAAGTGCTAGATTGGACTCTTATCTATTAAAGGATTAACATATATCCCAGGGGCAGAGTACATATATGGTTAAGCTTCAGCTGAACACAACTGAGTTAGAGTACTGACTGTGAAGTGTTATGTGAGAGATTAAGTGCGACTTATATCATCTAAAAAAACTAAGCATTGCAGCAAGATGACCCATGCAGTGTTGAAAGGTCTGGATGATATATATCTGTAGCATTCCTATAAGTTGGAATTTGATGTAACTTAATATGGCAAGGTATAGTCAAAGGTCAGCACAAAGCATACTTATTGGCTATAATTTCAATAACAATCTTGGAATTAATGCTAAATTGCTAATAATGGGCTGATGGGAGCTGGTCTGTAAGTGCTGAGCTCAGTAATTTCCTCTCTTTATAACCTTTAAAATCTGAAGAAATTCACAAAACAAATGCATAAAAAACAGACACATAAAAGAAACAACACATCCTTCTAAGGTTGGAAACCGACCTTGTTTTTGATCTACATCAATGAGCTTCCAACCCTGGTGCAGAGTGGCTGTAAACTGTTCGCAGATGACACAAAACTGTTCAAAGACATAGTAACCCAACAGGACTGTGCAACACTGCAAGCAGACCTTGACAGGCTATCTGAATGGTCAGATCAGTGGCTGCTTAAGTTCAACGTTGAAAAGTGCAAGATCATGCATTGTGGATATATGAACCCTGCAGAGGACTATGTCATGAAAGGTAATGATGAAGCCAGGACGATCTGCACTACAACTCACGAACGTGATCTGGGCGTGATTGTAGCCAACAACCTGAAAGCAACATGCCACTGCCAAGCTGCGGCACTGAAAGGAATGACTGCACTAAGGCTTTTAAAAATGTCTTTCAGAAATATTGATGTCAACAACTTCAGGTCCTTGTACACCACTTATGTTCGCCCGCATCTAGATTATTGCCTGTCTGCGGTTGGTCCTCACATGGTTCAAGATATACAAAAGCTTGAAAAAGTTCAGAGACGAGCTACCAAGCTTGTACGGGAAATTAGAGCCTATCCCTATGAAGAACGGCTGACGAGGCTTGATCTGATGAGCATGCGAGATCGACTCAAGCGTGGTGACTTAATTGAGACTTACAAGATTGTAACAGGAAAAGTTGATATAGATGCAGAACGATTCTTTGAATTTCAAGACCATGAAAGAACCAGGGGTCATCGATTTAAGTTGAAGAAAAGACGGTCAATGCACCACTTCAGAAACATGTCATTTGCTAACAGAGTAGTCACCCCTTGGAATGAGCTGCCAGACTATGTTGTGTCAGCACCAAGTACTAGTGCCTTCAAGAAGAGACTTGACCGACATTGGGCTACCCTAGTCGACCACTAAAGCTCATCCTCTGATTAGTGCATTCCACGATATGAGCACCAAATAGACAGTGTCTACTCCTAGCTCATAACCTAAACCTGAACCTAAACCTGAAACTGAGACCACATATCAATACTTCTACTACTTTCTACACAGGACATTTATAAGTTACACCCAACCACACATTGAGTCAGGTAAAGTTATGTTAACCCGCGCACCGACGGGGGGGGGCGGATATCCGCCCCCCCTGAGGTTTTTCGCGGATAGCGGGAAAACCGCGGCGCGTAGCGCCGCGAAATTTGGTATGACTATTCTCTCATCAATTTTACACATGGTGTGCAAGTTTGAACCTCCTAACTTTTAAGGTCAGTTCACCAGGTCACTTTGAATGACCCAACCTCAAGTCACTTTTTTGCAACTTTGTCACCGTGCCAGAGCTACAGTAGATGTCGGAGGCCTTTGAAAGTCGCAGGATGTTATTAGGTCATTAGTAGCTACAATTTGTATATATCGGAATTTTGATGTCGGTGACCTAAGGTCAGGTCAATTTCGCGACCTCCCCATTACAAGTCAATGGGGGAAAAATCAACTCCCTGTTTTTACCACTAAAACGGGTCGGAATGGCCCCATATACCATACATGACTTCACATACGATCAACCTTCACTACCTTGAGGTCTGTTTTGCTGTTGGGCAGCTGTAAGGTCATGTGACGTCATCAAAGGTCACCAAAGGTTTTTTTGCCAATAACTCCTTACAGGAACAAGATACAGCCGCGCGGATGGTCTCATTGTGTTCAGCTCGTCAAGACGCATCGAATGATATACATGATGACCTCGAGGTCACGTGACCTGAGTTCAACCTTTGACCTTGACCTTTCGAGGTCAACATATATATCATTCGATGCGGATTGACGAGAGGATCACGATGATGCCCTTAGTTTGTTCCTATCTTGACTACTTCGAAAGTTATTTGAGAAAAACCCTCTCGATATCTAGCGCCGCCATTTTGACTTTTTCGACCCCTGTGACGTCATCTTTGACCTGACCTGAAAATGACCTTAGTAAAAATTGTAGACCTTGTCCGTGCGTATCCGATGCCGTTTACCGCTTGTCGCTATCTTGCTTCATTCTCGAGATCTCAGGGGGGCGGTCATCCGCCCCCCCCCCCGTCGGTACTAAGTTGGCGCAGACCCCCGTCAGTGCGCGGGTTAAGAAACGTTAGGTCAGGTTAGAATGGGTTTTGTTATTTCTGCTTGTCTGGTACCTACCTAATTTGTTTAGCATTGCAATAAATAATCGTATGATCCATTGGTTAGGTTGATAGGTTGATATATGGTTCATGACAATATGGTGAGGTTTTTATTCCATTTTGAGCCTAGGGTGCAAAGGGGGACTTCATCCTCAGCTCATACACAGTAGGTTAATTCTGCCGTGCAAAGACAACCTGATTATGTTTTGGTGACCTCCTCTGACCTGACTATGAGTTAATGGCCTCTGACCCAAAATTGTCAAATTTGCCTTTACACAGCAGATGTCTTAGGTGACAGAAAGATTGCTTTCTTGCAAAGCATCAAAGAAAGTGTGTTAGTAGCCGGCAGATGCAGTCACACGTCACACCAGTTTCCTTTCTTTATAAAGGCCTAAGGCTACTAGGGGCCACCAAGGCTATAGAACGGGGCCACTAGCATAACCACAGTGGCTACCGTGGCTACGTTGCTATGCTTTGCTCACAAACGTGAGCAAATGAATAAAAAATAAATCAAAAACTTACACAGCGTATCCTCTTCTTGAACGTTATGGAAATATCAACAACGAGAGGCCTTTCACTTTTCTATAGATAAAAAAAATCTGGTGAAAATACACCCAGCCATCGGTACAGTCCGCATGCTATTTTGAAGGATATTGTGTTCAAAGCTGCTCGCTCGAAGAGCCCACGATGCAAGTGTCGGTCGCTGATTTGATGATACTAGCTTACTGAACGAATATGCGCCAAATAGAACCGATAGAACAGCTTGAAAAACATCGGTATTATGAGTACAAAAACTGCGCGCTGAAGACATTCTGGAGAAAATTGTTTTAAATTTACTGCAATATTCTTGAAAGTACTTAAAAGATATTAAGCAATATATCACAGCATAAAGTAAATTTTCACGCTATGAATGTGCGGTTTTCATCTGAGAATAGACAATGAAGCTCAATCATCTTAACTTTAGTGGATTTTAAAATGTCAATAACAGAAAAAATATCAAGTTTCTACATATTCAGAACTTAATATTTAGCAGCAGTTTAAGCAGTGCATTTTTGACAGGAACGCTTTGTTGGACAAGATATTCCGGATATTCCGAAGCGGTCGACGATTAGTTGTATTTCAATTTCGTGCGGGTTTTCTGCGTTACTTTTAGTGATAGGATACAATATTCTGTCATCCCGCTTCTGTCGTCTCATCGTAAGTCAAAGCAGAATCTGAATCATGCTATTGTTAAGCCTAAGCTACACTAGCATGAATTCTGACGTTTTTTTCGGTTTCTGTGGGATTTCGGTTCGCGTCGTCAAGTTCGCCTCATAGCGAATACATTGCGCAAGCTACACTGCCAGTTTGGCGTCCCTTGGAACGAAAACCCGCAAAAACCGACGAGTCGGAACCGAAAAAAAGTTCAGGGCTGTGAACTTTTTTTCGGTTTCTGCGGGATTTCGTTTTAGTGATGAATGATTAGAAGTGATCGTTGCTAATAATATTGTAACGATGGAACAGTTTCAAATGTAAATAATGAAAATCGTGTAATTCATGATTAAAGAAGACAAGATGTGTTTTAAAAGTCATCATTCTACTTCAAATATGTTAATTGTAATTAAGCTGACAAATGATAATGATCGAAAATATATTCTTGCTAGTTGTAAAATCCTTTAAACAATTATTTAATTATAGTTTTGTTAAAACACGATAATTTTAAACATGAATAATTAATTAATTTGATCACTTATCCATCACTACGCTAATAAACAACACCGGCCACGCGGCGGCCGCCCGGAACGAAAAAACGCAGAAACCGTAAAAACGCGGAAACCGAAATCACGCAGAAACCGAAAAAAACGCTGATAGTGTAGCCTGAGCTTTATAGTTACACACACTCAATTTAACGTTTCCCCTCCGCCTCCTTTAGTCTACTCACTCTGATTGTGATTGCAATTTGCATGACCTGCAATAGGTATGAATCAAATGTTTCGTTGAGTACCATTCATTGATATGAAGCTATGTGATTGAGATTTAGGAGACAAGAGCTGGAGAAATCAAAATCCAGGCAGTGTTGGTGTTTCTTTTGTATGGAATTTTATAAGGAAGAAGATTCGGTAGGTAGTCGTAAAGCAGGCATCACACTTTGACTGTTTTTTTTTTTGCAACCAAGAAGAGGTGCCGTACCCAGAGATGCTTTCTAATCAAACCAAACCAAACCTAACCTAACCTAAACTAACCTAACTAAGCCTGACCTAACCTTACCCATACACTGTATACACTGTGGACTGTATACTGTACACCTATACACTGTGGACTGTAATTGCCATGCCCCTACTAGTGGATTGTCCATGATGGTAATACAATACATTATACAATATAATACAATACAGCCTAAAACCTACAGCCTAAAACCTAAAACCTACACCCTAAAATCCAAAGCCTAGTCCTACAACCTAACAGCCTATAGCACCTCTCCTTGGCTGCAAAACACAAGTGTGATGCCTGCTTTACTACTACCAAAGTTTCTAGTGGAATGACTTGTTTGTCAAATGAATATTGCTATCAGACATCATTGCAAGCTTGTCATTATGCATGTGCTTAGTGCTATGTGCCAATGTGTTTAGAAGGTTCAATTTAAGCAAGTAAAATTAGTAGCATAAATAGCAGATTTAAGGTCACATTTTTTCAGGTTTGTGATATTTTAGAGCTCCATGATGCACCAGGTCATAAATATGGCATCTGAAAAGTGGTGGTCATGAAGTATCATTTTTACAAAGACCATATCTCATAATTGTGTACATAAGTAGCATTGGCTGTATAAATAACAATATATTCCCTGGCAGCTCATTGTCAAGCACTTCTGCTTTCAGGACAGTTAGGGATCAGGATGACATATTGTGTAGGTACCTACTGTTACAAGTTACAGCAATGCACACAATCAGTTTCATAACAAGATGCATAAAACATTGAACATGTGCTAGATATGTGACATTATTTTGGATAAATAGCAAGCACTTTTATTGCACCATTTAATTTGGCATTGATTTTTTTTTTCAAATGCTATATGACAGTGATATATGATTAGTCATTTTTTACTACAAAGCTGATTATTTTCCAAATTTTTGCACTTCTCCAATAGTCATGAAAACTAACTTTCAAAAATATGCTCTTGTGGGATAACACATTTGCTTAAGAATAGTCTAGTAGTAGTCACTAGGTATTGCACTGCATGTTCTACATTTATTTGCTGATGAATGAATCAAAGATTGGCTAGCAGGATCACCTAGTAGGTAATTATTTAAAGGGACACTCCCACCTTAACATTAGTTTTGAGTTGAGATAGCCAAATTGGTGGCCATGGCCTGCAAATACCGGTTTGGGCACTCACAACATCGACAAATGCTTTAATTCGGAGATATGGAATTTCAAACTTGCAGTTTTCGGATTCTAAGGGGCTAGTGCATTGGTATGCCCCCTTAGAATTTGTGACGTCAGCGGAGATCTAACGATTTTTAAATCTTTTACTAAAACGTTTGGTAGCACGCGGTGGTATATGCTGCTTTGCGCGCAACAAATGCCGCGCTTTCAAATAAAGTCGCTAGGAACAGCGGAGATCCCAAAAAGTAAACAAAAGTAAAAGTTTAATATCTTGAAAACCGGTGAATATTTTTCGATGAAATTTGGTAGATATTCGTTTTCGCTCTTTCTGAACCGAGCGACATCACTTTCGTGCCAATTCATTAACTTTTTTGAAGGTGGGAGGGTCCCTTTAACATTAAAAAAAAGATATTGTATCATAATGATTTGATGTTAAAATGTTCTTTATTGATGTGATCCCAACCTGTCTGGTAGCTGGTAGGTGTGTTGGAATCTGGTAATAAGTTGCTACCTACAACTAGGTGTTGCTTACTACAGCTACTAGTCTTACTAATAACTTCTGATTATTATGCTGGTCCATAACCAAGTATGGTGGGAGTGGCAGTATGTTTGTGGGATGTTTGATAAGACATCCAGTGAGCTGTTTTGTTTGCCACATTCCACATTTCATGATATAATTATCAGTTTGTTTGGCATGCACCACTGTTTCCCATCCAGTGTGTCCAATGGTTAGGTTAGGTTAGGTTGGGTTACTGCCCAGCTCTGCCAGTTGATTCTTATACTGGCTTCACTACATAACCAATCATCTGCCAGCATCCCCAATATTGAGATCATGGAATTAATTTCTGGCCATGACCATGATAAACAGTGCCGGAGAGGGATGTTTATCCAGTCCAATGATGCCTTAACTTGAGTTTTCTTTTAGAATGGTAGAGATATTTGAATCCTTCTGTTTGTTCGCTTTTTATGAAATGCTTTGCTAGCAAACATATTCCTACACTGCCATAGGTTATCCTATTATGCCTTTTGAATTGAATTTTACGACCGATATCGGTTAAAATAGTTTGACCGCTGCTGAGTATAAAATTGTGTTCCCCAGTAGCTCGCTGGTCAGGCTGTTCTGAGCCCTGATTATGTCCTATCACATCATCACCACCAGGCAATCCATGTCGAGAGTCATTCTTGTCCTGACACCATTTCTCACCATTCAAGCACATTTCCAATACTGATTGGCAAAAAGCTTTGGATACATTTTGTGGCGCTGTGGTCTGCGACACTTCATTGAAGTGGCATGGGGCTCGTAATATCTAGCTCTTGACTCTTACGGTTAATGATGTCAAACGGTTATAAGCGAAGATTAAACTACACCCGATCTCGTTAGAAAAAGGTTAACTTTCCCTTTCTCAGTTGTGTGGCACTTGATGGCATCACCGTATTTTTTTGCGGTGTGCTTTTGAAAAATCAACCCTCACTGAAGTGATATACCGCTTGTAGGTATCGGTATTCTCAGGAATATTATTTGTGCATATATGCGTTATGCCAACGGTTTTCTTCAATAAAAAATACATGGCAGTAATGCATACCATATTGTTACAAGTCACGTAGTACTCTTCGGTTCATTCCGATCGGGAAGCGGCATTTGCGGTCTGACTGACATGCCACAGCTTTCGGACCGCTCCTGCTGCCGCGTTAGTGGCACGGATCGCAAACCTAACGGGGCTACTGGCGCCAATGGATGACTGAAACCACGGGCCTGTCCTGGCTCCTCCAGTACAGAAATCGCTGACGGTGATGAAGACCTGATGTACCTATTCACGGGCTTTTCGCTGGTCTGTCAGGCTGCTGATTGTCGACGGCATTCATTCATAGTGCCTGCCCCCGCTTCCAAACTCATAGCCTGGCAGAGCTGTCGTCAGGGAGTCTCCTGTGCGGGGCGCGGGCATGCCGTGGCCTGCCCACGCTCGCTCCCCGGCCGGCCCGTGCCCTCCCCCGCTCCGCGGCGGGTGCCACATTGACCCGGGGCGGCGACCCGCGCGGCCGGTCGATCAGTGTCGCTGCGATGGGCGCCGCTCCATCTCCCAGCCGTGCTCCGCGTGACGTGGCCGGTGTGTGCGGCTCTCCCCGACCCTCCTCGGACCGTCATTTCCCTCTCCGGCCCGTCACTGCCCTCCCCAGTCTGTCGCCGCCGCCGCTGGTGGCCGGGGCGTTCTCAGGCCCGATTGGGAACTTCCTGTCGCCCCGGCGCCCCGGGGCAGCGGGCGAGCGCAA